GTGACAGGCAAATATATCGTCCTGCGTACGGTGCTTGTCTGCGGATGGCCGCCCAGTCACAATCAATCATTTGGCAGGTGAAAAGGTGTTTGGAAAAGTTGCTGCTGGAATTATACTAGCTATAGTAATTGCGTTAAAACCCGTACGAAAGAGACGCCTTCTCGTCGACGTTTCCCGACGGGTGGTGCCACCCAACAGTCAGAAAACTAGATTACATGACAAAGTTTAGTTTTCACACACGAACACGTGAGTCTGTCATCAATGTCGAGATCCTTTGTAGTAAACCGACTTTTAAGTCGGCTATTGAATTAAGACCGTTCTCATTCCACGACAAGGACGATGGTGACGAAAGTGGAGACGTACAGCTAAGCACATAAGCTAAGATCAGTGTCTCTTTAACCACTGATATTATATGAAATTGGTTATCCATGGGAAACAAAAAACCAGTACCGATTTTCCACTACGCGCGTAGAGACGAATAATCTATTGTTAGCCTCACAAGCGAGCTCACAAGTTAACGACACTCGTCAGCTGACTATAGAATAATAATATATTACATTAATGAAATTAAATCATCACCCGAGGAAGAAATACATCTGAAGTTTACGATTATACACCAAGTGATGTATAGTACCTTAGTACCTACAATAGAATATTATTATAATCTCTAATCGACACCACCAAGCAAGTCGTTATTTATTATACTCGAACATCGGACGTTCGGATACGACTAACATATACATTTAAAATGTTCTTAGTTTTGTACAAAAAAATTAAATGTTTAATAAAATCATAAAATAATCACTTCGTACTCCAACGAGCCGTGACTATTGTCAATCAATATACGGCCACTCAAAATACTATTGTAGTCATAATTCACTCCATGTCCTCTGTATATACTCTTTAATCACTTGCAACTGTACCAAACCTCGTTATACTCCAGTGAAAAAATGTATTGTGCCCTACCGGATCCTCCACTCGACTGGTTACAAAAAGCATTGAATTTAGACAAAAAAAAAAAATTCTATTTTAATCTTAAATTTGTATTTAATTATTACTACTATATTTTACTATATTATTATGTTTTATTGACCAACTCGTGAGCCATAGTTTAAGGACTACAATAATAATCTAAAAAAATGTATTTCCCATCGTCCAACAATTATTTACTCGACTTACATCCAAGTCCCTCTGAAAAGGTTAACATAATACAATACTTTAAAAAAACTTCAAAATTAAAATAACCGCTCTCTGGCTATCAACGCTTTTAGCTTTTAGGTTTTTGACAAATGAATCTCGAAAACAACAGTTTGAATTAAAACATTTGGATCTACATTTCTAACCAATATTAAAGACGTTACAACGCGTTTAGATAAAGTGTAGGTACTATTATTATCAGTTGGTATATGGACTTCTCATTTCCTATTCAGTCTTGGTGATAATTATGAAACCATAATCCAGCCTAACAAATGTAACTAATGGCGGCTGTCTTCTTAGAACCATTTGAGTAATGCGATAAGTCTGTTTGTGATGCACGTAAAATAATAATATTGTTTATTTAATGGTAAGACTCTGTGTGCGGAAAAAAAAATGCAGCGATTTTCGTCAAAGTTTCACTGTGGAATTATAATATACTATATAGTACCAGCAATTGCCTTTAAGGCCCGTGTGCAGAAGGCACATTCACTCGTCGCTTCCACTGTCGTTTCGCCACTCGGCTGTGAAAACAAGATTACACGACAAATTTCCGTTGTCATACACACACACACACACACACACACACACACACATTCATCTGTCATCAACACGGAGATGATAATAAGAGCCGTTAGTTGGCAATCGAATTAAAAATTGCCGTCGTCGACTCCCGACAGTACGTCGATACGAATATACGATTCGGCAGCGGTTGCGACGACGACGGAAGAAATATAATACTTTCATAATAATATTATTCTTATAAACCAACTTGACCACCTGTGGCAGGTATACTTTTTGTAGGCACTGATCAGCTACAATGGTGTCGTGAATTTCACAGGTTGTACGTTAATTACCCATTAATTGCACGATGTCCATTACGGAAAATGTTTGAATCGATTATAGAATCGTATTTTATACTTTAAGGTGTGTTTGATGTTGATATATTTTTTGTTTGATCGTGTGAAAGTATATTATACAATAAATTAAAGTGTGTTATAGTATTCAATTTATAATGGTCTTATTCTTATACATTTTTCTGCTAACACTTTTTTCGAATTATACGCATAATTAAAACATTAGCAGGGGGGAAAAAGATAAACTTGATAAATCGTAAAGTTAAGTTAGAATAAATTATGATTAACTACTACCGTTTTTTTAATTTAGGTTTATATAATACCACATGTCCCCATGATACGAAAGTGTCGATATATATTTTTGAGAACCAGTTTTCTTATTACATTATATTTTATATTTATGGACTTAACCAGCGTATTTTGCACATAAAATTGTTGTTACAACTTTTAATCTACCAAAAATTATTACTATGTCATAATAATATCTGAACTGTTTGTTGATAATAAACTATAGACATTTTAAATCGAAATAATTGACCTTAATTTATATTCAAACTCAAGTGGATACCCGACTTTGGCATGGTTGCTGTTTGGAGAATTATTGTGGTAACTAACTTTTGAAAAGTCTCCGAATGAGCCCATTAAAGATTCTCGTGAATGCAACTTTTATCAAGATTTATGTTGAATATCTTAGCGATTTATTATCTCTCATAAACTTCCAATGTACCCTTCGATTACATTCGACAGTGCTGCAGTTATTATTGTGGCTAACAAAATGCTATTAAAGATTTATTTTTAATTAATAATATTTTGGGATGTTGTATAAATAAATATATGTAAGTCAAAAAAGTAAATTTATCTTATTATAAAAGTTTTGAATAAAAGTCAATGTTAAGACTTACATTTAATGAACAGGACCAAAAGTATTTGAGTTATATATTTTGGTCACGCCACTCATAATATTGCACCAGCTTATGCACTAGTATCGACCCGAAAACTTAAATTTGTTTTTACTAGGAGAAACAAATGTTCTCAAAACTATAATTACAGACACGATCGTATCGAATATAATTCTATATAAGATGACATATTTTCTTTATGATTCAAAATTCATAATTATAATATTGAAAATACTACACGTATTATACAAATTAAACGGTTAGTGTGACGGTGATAAAACATAAAAATTTAAAATTTAATTTATAATATTATTTCTTGAAATACGAACACCGTTAAATTGCGTCGACAATGGAAAATATATAATATTTTAGTCACACATCGTTGAACGCGTATATCTTCGAAAATAATATAATAAGTCAGCAGACTTAAAACTGTTAAGCACTATTGTGTGCTTATTATACGTTCGTATAAATAACTAAAAACGGTGTATAGTAATACATTGTGAATTGTGTCACACGACGTATCACGTGAAACATATAAACGTATCGGATGATAGTGAATGTGAGCGTATAATATAATGGCGTATGAGGCGAAACCGACGACGACAAACACCGTTAAAGTTTGCATACGAGCTAATTTATAATTTGTGTTGATTGTTCCGAACTTGTTGAGCACACAACGGCTAAACCTTGGCCGTTTTCGACAAAGTATTAATAATATGCCAGTTGCCGCACGCGATTATGAGAGCAGCCACGGGCTCCGTCTGACCTTCTTACATGTAATATACCAATTATATAACTACTTTGCCTATCTCTGTCATTATAATAATGTGTAGCATCATAAACGTCCTATATTAATATAAGATTTTATGATATTATTGTAGAAACACATTTTCGACAAATCTCTCTCAACATCTGATTTAAAAAGTTGTGTTTCAGTGGGGTAACCATATTTATATATAATATATTTTATAAAACGGATAAACTCTATTATAATAAAAACCTCCAAATCTTTTTAATGGTTTTTATATTTTAATAATTTATGTTAGTTGTTTTGTGATTTCGTGTATCCTAGACGAGTTGTGTAGTTGAAATGGGTAATGGATGATACAGGTTCATATTTAATGAGCTGTGCACATATATACAAATACATAATGGATAGGATATTTGGCTCCAAACCACATGCCAAAAGAGCACCAAGTTAAACATAATTGTAACTGTATATGGTGTAACTTGGTTAGGTACCTATCTATTAATGATAGTAATCATTGATAGTTCAGTGTTGCCTGTTAAAGCAGTGGTATTATTGTACAACCGACTATTGCCATATTATTGCATTGATGGTAAAACAAAAAAAAATAAATATGTTTTTATTTTGATACCCCTATAATTCGGTTTTAACCAGAAATATGGTATCTATGTGGCTCTTTTGGCAGGCTATCCCATGTGCGATGAAAAGGGATACAATATATTATACTCAAGAGACACAATTCGGTATATAACCCTAAATATCGTCATCCTAAGTCAGAGGTTCCCAACCTTTTTTGACTCGCGGCACCATTGGACATTTTCTAAAAATCCGGAGGCACCCTATGCTCTATAGTCTATAGTCTATACTCTATACTATAGAGTACTTCGGTTCAATTTATTAGTGCATCCAGTGCTTGAATTGGAAAAAAAATAGAAGGGGGATGCAAAAGTATAAAAGATATGTGCGTCCCCGAACATTTAAATGTCTTACTGTTAGTGGTAGCATATGTCCCCCTCCCGCTACAATGACATTTTACACCATACAGCAATAAACAAATATTCCTTTTTATTTAAAAATTAAAAATAAAATATTGTAAAATACATAATAATAATTGTTATTTGTTTTATAAATTTAAATATGCCCATAAATGTTTATATGAATGATGTATGTCATGTTCGTCTCGTTTTGGACATCTTGTTTCTTCTGCACTTCTTTTACCCGTTTTAATCCAACTTTTTACATAGTGGTCTGGTTTAAACAATTGAACAGGTGGTCCAACACAACTAATAAACACTAATGATGCTAATGATGCTAATGATGTGTTCAGAAGTTAGTACGTTTCTTTTAGGCGTTATTATGTTGTTCATGGAACTAAATGATCTTTCACATTCAGATGAAGATACAGCAATAGTAGAAATTGCAGTTAAAAGTGGGTTTAATGTTGGTATTTTTGAGGAATCTTTCAAGTCTTTAAAGTCTCTAAATCCTCGAATTGCGGATACTTCATTTAAGTAGTCTAGGTTTAAGACATATTATATACATATCTATGGTATTAAAAAAAAAATTGACCTATAATAAATTCCAAATTAATCATATCTCAATATCCATTAGGTACTTATAACACGTTATACAGCAATAAAAAACCCTGATACTATCATAGATATATAATATAGTGTACTTAAGAAGTTTCAAGTACCCACGAATAGTATTATACACTCACAACAAAATAACTAAAATAGGTATGCTAGGTTTTTTAATATGTAATTTCGTCCCAAATTTGAACTTAAAATGACCATAAAAATAAACTGTGCTTGTGTATTTTTTAGATTTTTTGGTAAGATAATTAACTACTTACGTGGAATCTTGTTTTAAATTTTCAATCCTTAGCTATATAAACTGAACATTTTATAATTTATTAATTACGATGATTGATAATTTTCGAGATTTTGATAAATTTTGTCAAAATCCGATCTTTAAATGCTTATAGAAAAAAATTGTGCCTATGTATTTTTAATATTTTTCAACTTCTATTGTAACAATATACCTATCAGGAACCTTGTATTAAATTTTTACACTTTTTGACCCAACAGATAAAACTTAATTGATATTCATAGAAAAAAAAAAAAATAAAAAAAATTGAAAACTGACAATGCTCTGTAAACAGCTCAAAAAAAGTCAAAATATATTCAAATAATTGTATGGTGTATAGGAAATGCTATTATAAACATTCAGTGAAATTTTCATGTATCTACAGTAATTCGTTTTTGAATTACAACAAAATAAGGAAATCGCCACATGAGAAATCGAGCGAATATCCAATGTTGTAAAAATTTGAATTTCAAACGCTCATAAAAATTTAATTTGACTTTCTTATAGAATTTTTTTTAAATGTAGGAAATCTTATAAGGAATCTTGTATTACATTTTCATATCTTAGATTTAAAAAGAAAAATTTTTATGAATTTCTAACTCGAAATAATTTGCAAATTTTCGTGATTTTTCCATATTTTGTCATTTTTTGAACTTTAAATGCTTAAAAAAAAAAACTGTGACTAACGATTTTTAATATTTTTCAAATGCCATTGTAACAATATAGTAGGAGCCTTGTATTAAATTTTCAAGTATTTTTACTCAACAAATAAATTTTTATTGATATTCATAAAAAAAAAAAACTAATAAAATTGGAAACTGAAAATGTCCCTAAACAGTTCAAAATAAATCAAAATATTTTGAAAATTTTATCGTGTATAGAAAATGCAAATATAAACAACCACTGAAAATTTCATGTATCTACGGTCATTTGTTTTAAAGTTATACCAAAAACCAAAATCGATTTTCTCGAAAACAGATTTTGTGTAAAAATTCCCGTTTTTCCTTAATTTTTCTTTTGTTTTTCCCAGCGCTTTTGAAAACTACTGTGAAATTTAAATTTTTTTCTCCCCAATGCACCAACGATATTCACTTTCCAATCGAACAAGATACTGAAGTTGAAAATCGAAGCATTATTTCGACTACTTATCGTGTACAGACACAAAAAAAAAAAATAGATAAAAAAAAAAAAACACACATCATTGTAAAATCAATACATTCATCGTTTCAATCAGAATCTAAAATAAAAATATTTCCATTAATTTAGTACAATTTTTAAAATGATTCCCGTCCCCAGCGTCCCATTAAAAGAAATTAGAAGGGGTACGCTAAAATATTTTTAAAATAGAAGTTTGACTCCGTCCCCCCGCGTCCCCCCCAATTCAACCACTGAGTGCATCAGTATAATCAAAAGTAGTAAGGTGTAGGTGCATACTATATACATATTACATTTTATAAACAAATTATTACATTGTATTTATTTTTAATGAAATTGTTTTTTCTAAAAAAATATTTCAAATAATTTCGCGGCACCCTGGTTGGGAATCTCTGTCCTAAGTTAAAGGAATATCGTTATAATATAATATATCTTGGTTTCGACATGAAGGTTAGGTTGACTCCCGTAAGCCACAAAATCGTTGTTCATAAATATATATGTTTTTGTGAATGTCCGCAATTGGGGAGTGCTGACAATCACCTGGTGAATGTCGATATATACATACTAACTAAATTGGTGAATGTTGACAAACTAAAACAATATAGACATAATTTTGTACTAGTGGATGTCGACATTTACATCAGGATTTCGGTAAATGTTGACATACTCAACACGGTTTTGGTTAATGTTGAAATAGGTACGTATCCGCACATAATACTATAGTATACTACTATAACAGTCTATGGACAATAATATAAAATATAAACAATATGCTTAATTAAAAATATTAATAATTCATTTTAGTAATTACTATTATTATTATTAAAAAATATTATATATTTTGCATTATTAGTTTTAATTATAATTATTTTGAAATAGAAAATTATTATTAAAAAAAAAAACGGGGAAAATTATTCTACTTATTGCAACATGTCATGACATTTTGTACTACATTAAATTCCAACATATCTATGACCACAATTTTTTGTGGTGCATTTTGTTTTACAATTACACCTCGTATGTTGATGGATTTGATGTAGCTTGGCTTTTTAAAAAATAAATGTTTTGGTTATTGTGAAAAGCAATCCTAAACAATAAAATATACCTATAACTACGTTGAATGACAATATCATACTACATTTCATCGAGGCATGGCGGTTAACCAGATATTATAATAAGTTGCAGGGTTAGGTAATAAAACATTTTATCGAAATTATCAATTGTACAATACCTTTACTGTATTGATAAATACTAGAATACTAGATAGTATGATGAGATCAGATTAAATGATATCGGCATTACCAAAATTTTTTTTTGAAAAGTTTTAATGTTTAATGTTACCATAATTTTTAGAGTCTTAAGTGTTGTAAACGACTAAATAAATTTTTCATTTCTTAATTCGAAGTAGAATATTAACCTATCTGACAGTTTCAATGTATAAATATCTAGTTTGGAACTATTAGCTAATAATTAATAGCAGTAGTGTATGGGGCAAACATTTTGCGAGTTATCCTTGTGTCATTACGCTCATCTATACTTTAAATAATCACAACTAATTAAACTCGTTCAAATTTATATTTTTATATTTCTTAATTGCCACATAAATAATCCGCTCCATAATATCGAAAATATGTACGCTCTTATTCAAAATGGTAAACGTAATTACTATAGAAAATATTAGTTTTTTTTCAAAAATTGTGTCTTATAATATATTCAAATTATTTAAGTAAAAAAAAATATTTCCAAAACCATTCAAATTCTTCGAGTAAATGAGCGTGTAAACTTCTAAAAGAATATCACTGTACATGGTATAGATCAAATAGTTTTAACGATGCACAATATTGCACAAGTGTCACGAAGTTATAATATATAATATAAACAAATGCCGCAGAGAAGTTGGACATATTAATTTATTTTAATTCATTTAACAGAGCAATAGTTAATACCTATACAATATAATATACAGCTCGTCACGGAGATTTCAGGTTATAATGCTTAAACATTATACCGTTGTTCGAACCTGAACAAATTGACATTGTATTATATATACCTATATGGAATATGGATATGAATATAATATGATACATACCTAATCTATCATTGATTAATGATTATACACAATTAATGTTAAACGCATATTCAATGATTGCATCTTGTATTCTTGTATGTACCAGTGTTGGACAAAAACATTATAATAACATGATTAGCCAATGACGATATATTTTATAAAGATAACGTGTGCAATTGAAAACTGATCATTTTGAATAAAATATGTATATAAATTTACCTATTGTAGAAGTCGCCAGTTAAATCTACCATTGTAGCCAGGATTATTCTATGGGTGGGAGGGGCTGATGATGTGTTTATACAGAGTTGTTTTGACTAGAGTCTACCATATAAGTTTAACATACTGATACCAAGGTTTTATTTTAGGGTTAGGTTACTGTACGGTTATACAAATGTGTATTTGCAATAATTTAAATAGACCATAGAAATCATTATAATAGAAAGCCTTAGAATTTCGGAAGTGGGAGGGGGGCTAAAGCCCTGTGATTGATGTTAAAAAAATACTATAGGTATATTTTGACCATAAATTATTGTGATTTAAATTCATGAGTTTTGAATTATAAAATATGTAAAGTGTAATGTTTTATAAACTTTATAAGTATCGGTTAACTGTTTATTTATTTTTTTCTCAACACATTGACTGGTACACAAACGACAAACATAATAATATATTTTGCATTGTATAGAAAAATTGTAGCTGTTCAAAGAGTTTTCGATTTGTGTTTTGAAATAATCTGTTTTGTAATAGGAAATATATATAATTGTATTAAAACGCCGGTGAATCTTTGTCTGTTGAACGTAATTTATTTCTACTCGACAAAGCACATTGCGGTAAATAATTATTTCTAATTGACGCGTACTCCTTATACAGGCGGGCCTCGATTTACAAACAAACCAGATTCTTCTTTGCGGTCCTTCTAACTATCAGCTTTACGTCGTTATCGAGTTTATTTAAAACAAAGATATAAGCTTGACACACGCCGCAGTACTGGCTAATGGTGAGTGAAGAGGTAAGGGGGGGGGGGTCGAAAAGTGTATCATCCCTTCTCAAGATCTCATAAATCTAAAAAAGTGTTTCGAGATTTTAGTGGCTTAATATAAAAGTGATATACTGCAGTCATTATTATTATTATTCTTATTATAAATGTGGGCAATTTTTGTGAGTCCGTTATGACGTCTTTTCGGAGAAAACGGACCAAAATCTCTATTTTTTTTCTTGGAACTTCAAAACGTATTTTTTTCTCTTTTAACCAAAAAGGATAGCGTGGTAAATCCATCAATAAATGTCGATAAAAACAATGCAAATCACAACATCATAATATACAGTATGTAATAGGAAGATCTGACAAAAAAAAAATTATGCTACTTAAACCTATGGCAAAAATTGTGAAAATTATATATCATTTGAGGAATATACTTATGTC